TCCTCAAAGAGCCTTTCCTGACCCCTCAGTCTAAAACAGCACCCACCACACCAGTCCCCGTCACTAGCTCCGTACTGGGCTTCACTGCTGTCTTCCGGTCACTTGTGGCTGCCAGAATCACCACACTTGGCTGTTCCTGTTTGCCTCTCCCTTCAAGGGAGTTGAAAAAGTGGTTTCCGGAAGCCCATGGCTTGAGTTCAACCCCTAGCTCCACCCCTTTCCAGCTGTGGGATCTCAGGCAAATTGCCGAACACCCCCCACCCCCGTGCTTCAGGTTCCCCTTCTGCTAGGACTACTGCAGCATCAGATGAGCACGGGTAGAAGGTGCTCGCAGCGGAAGAGGGGTGCCTGACAATACTCGGTGACCAAGAGTGCAGAGCTATTATTGCAGATGTTTTGTTTTTTGTTTTTGCTAGAGGGTGCATGCGTTCACAGGAGAGAGACAGAGAGAGGGAGAATGAGAAAGCAACCCCAAGGAGGATGGTCACACCAAAACTCCTTCTCCATTTCTCCCTCCTTTTGGGATTTGGGCACATGTGTCCAACATGTTTTTCAAGCTGTCAGGTCTAGAATTCAAACTGTGTGGTTGGTGGTATGAGATCTAGTGCCTTAACGCCAAGTCATGGCTGGCCCCATTCCAGATTTAAGCTCCTGAAAACAAGGATCACTGCCTATCACGGTAGTCCAGCACCTAAGGTAAGGCCAGGCACAAAGTGGGCATTTGTCAAAGAAATGGAGGAGCACACTCCAGGAGAAGATGCCCCCACTTCCCAGCACAGCTGCGGGGACTCACAGGAAGCGCTCAGCCAGGCCTGAGGTGCAATGAGGTTGGGAAACGTCATCCGACCTCTGCCAATCCCTCCGAAAGCTTCCTTCTACGAACCGCACTTTGCTGATATCCTAAGGGTACAGTTCCTTTGCCTACTCCACCCAAAACCAGGGTGACCTGCCCCAGCAGCAGGGGCCAGAGCACCTGCCCTCTGCCTTACCAGCCCCCTGCATCCTGAGATAGCATGTACAAAGTGCTTTGCAAATGTCAAGAGCAAAGCCAAAGTGAGAAATGATCCCCACAGGGAACAGAGGAACTACAGGGTCTCCAGACTTGGTAACCAAGATTTGAAAATCCCTATAACCACACTGTCCGGCAGGCAATCCCACTCCCAGGTGTCCCTTGTGGCTGCCAGAATCACCACACTTGGCTGTTCCTGTTTGCCTCTCCCTTCAAGGGAGTTGAAAAAGTGGTTTCCGGAAGCCCATGGCTTGAGTTCAACCCCTAGCTCCACCCCTTTCCAGCTGTGGGATCTCAGGCAAATTGCCGAACACCCCCCACCCCCGTGCTTCAGGTTCCCCTTCTGCTAGGACTACTGCAGCATCAGATGAGCACGGGTAGAAGGTGCTCGCAGCGGAAGAGGGGTGCCTGACAATACTCGGTGACCAAGAGTGCAGAGCTATTATTGCAGATGTTTTGTTTTTTGTTTTTGCTAGAGGGTGCATGCGTTCACAGGAGAGAGACAGAGAGAGGGAGAATGAGAAAGCAACCCCAAGGAGGATGGTCACACCAAAACTCCTTCTCCATTTCTCCCTCCTTTTGGGATTTGGGCACATGTGTCCAACATGTTTTTCAAGCTGTCAGGTCTAGAATTCAAACTGTGTGGTTGGTGGTATGAGATCTAGTGCCTTAACGCCAAGTCATGGCTGGCCCCATTCCAGATTTAAGCTCCTGAAAACAAGGATCACTGCCTATCACGGTAGTCCAGCACCTAAGGTAAGGCCAGGCACAAAGTGGGCATTTGTCAAAGAAATGGAGGAGCACACTCCAGGAGAAGATGCCCCCACTTCCCAGCACAGCTGCGGGGACTCACAGGAAGCGCTCAGCCAGGCCTGAGGTGCAATGAGGTTGGGAAACGTCATCCGACCTCTGCCAATCCCTCCGAAAGCTTCCTTCTACGAACCGCACTTTGCTGATATCCTAAGGGTACAGTTCCTTTGCCTACTCCACCCAAAACCAGGGTGACCTGCCCCAGCAGCAGGGGCCAGAGCACCTGCCCTCTGCCTTACCAGCCCCCTGCATCCTGAGATAGCATGTACAAAGTGCTTTGCAAATGTCAAGAGCAAAGCCAAAGTGAGAAATGATCCCCACAGGGAACAGAGGAACTACAGGGTCTCCAGACTTGGTAACCAAGATTTGAAAATCCCTATAACCACACTGTCCGGCAGGCAATCCCACTCCCAGGTTTGATATGTAAAGAACTGATTGGGGCGGGGTGGGGGGCGCACACCAACAACGCATGTCAAAGACACAGGGATGGGAACTTATCTGGTGATGGCTTTGATGGATAGGCACCATATTCATGCTGGGAAAAATCATGTTGTACACCGTAAAGATGTACAGCAATTTAATGTAAATAAAAAACATAAAACTACGCTTTAAAAGTGTTGGGGGGGATAAAAGGGAAAGAAGGGTCTAGAAGTGCTATTTGGACACCCACATTCACGGCACCATTAGTCACAACAACCAAAGGGGTCCCGGAGCAGCGTGTAGGGGCCACTTCCACCTAGCTATGTCTCTGCTCTGCCTTCTTGCAGGGGTAAGCTGTGGGCACTGGGGTCGATGACCGCCAGGTGTGGGGACAGGTCAATCTCGGCCCCTGGGTATGTGCCCTCGCTCTCCATCTCTCTGGCTTTGTCACTTCGCGGTTCTGCTCACCTCTGAAAGGTCGATACCAGAACCCCCTACTCAGGGCACTTGAGAAGATTAAATACATGAAATGAAATTCAGCGTGCCACCGTGAGGCCCTAACACACGGTAAGTGCTCAAACGCATTCACTGCTACTGTTTTGTTCATTTTACAAATGGAGTATAATCCGGGCTCAGAGAAGTTAAGTAATTTGCTCAGAGTCAACTGGAATTAAATGTGCATCAGGTTGACTCATTAAAAAAAAGGGGGGAAAGCAAACAAAAAACATGCTTTTCCTAGGATGGCATGTCTCAGCCAAGGCCTGACCATTGCTGGCGGAGCTCGGTTTCTTCACTCATAACCTGGGAGAAGCCAGCCTGGTCTGAGTGCACGGCAGACGTGCCAGAGGGCTGGGACAGCCTGGACGCAGACACTGGGGGACCATCAGGCAGTCACTCCCGTGGGAAGAGGGAAGGAAGGACAAGGTACATATCTGGCTGCTCCTAGTCAGGAGCCCCTGGGGTGGAAATAGCGACCCCCCTCCCAGTCCCAGGTGTCCCTTGACTGTCCCAGATGTCCTTGATAGCAAAGAAGGTGGCAAACGTCCCAGGCTGGAAGGATCTTCTGGGGCAGGCAATGCTTAGCCCCAGTTCACAATGTCAGTCCTCACGGGAAGCAGCGTCTATCTCTGAACAGCCAGTGGACACTGCGACCCCTGGCTCAGGCTCCGCTCCCAGCCCATGGCTCCCGCACTGGGAGGCGGTCAAAACACATTTCAAGGTCAAGGCCCATAGTCCGCCATGGAGCTGTGTGAACACTGGCCATGCACGCCCTCCTCGAGCCTCAGCATCTCTGCTTTTGGGATAGAGACATGGATCCCAACTGTAGTGGGCTGTCGGGTTAGGTGCACGTCTCCTGCAGTATAAAAGTTCCCTGCATCAGGACCAGCAGATGGAGTAATGGTTACATCGCTGGACTCCCACGTAGTTGACCACGGTTTGAGTCCCAGACCCAAAGGCTTAAAACTCGCACTGGGTGCGTGTGCTTACATGCCCAAAATCCCAAGAGGAGAGTGGAGGAGAGGGGATTGCAGTGATGCCCTAATATATGGTAAGTGCTCAAAAGTATTCACCCCTTCCGGGGAGGGGCTGATTTCTCACTTTGTCTCTGTCTCTCTGGCGAGCACAAGGGCCCTATAGCAAAAATCCCTCTCAAAAAAAAGAAGAGACGAGAAAGTCCCCTGCATCTGTCCAGGCGCCCAGGGCCTGGTGGACATGATGGCTTAGTATGTGTGTTCTGCATGAAGGGGTGTGCTGTCACAGAGGGGGAAGAGCCGGACACAGAACAAGACCTGGGACATACCTCAGTGGTTCCACAGAGCCCTGGCAGTCAAGTAAGGCTCACACACCTTGGGTGTGACATTCAAGGCCTTCGCCATCTTGTGTTAACCAACGTTTCTAACCCTTCTCGCACTTGTCCCCATTTTTTTTTTCCAGAGACAACACAAGATTTCCAGCCTCTGCATGACTGGAGGATCATCCTACGATACAGGAGACCCAGGAGGAGGGCTGGAGTTGCTTGGTGGGGGAGCTCAGGGAGTGGGAGAGACTATGGACAGGGGCCCAAAGCCAGGAGACCTGTGCCAGACACAGGTGGAGGTAGAGGGGACCTCATTGCGGCCCACCTTGGCTGGCCCAGGTGCTCCCCTCCTCTCTCAGGGGAAATCACAAGCCCCAGGTGTGAGCCCCCAGGGCCTTGAACAGCGGGCAGCCTGACAGAGCCTTCAAACAGAGAGCCCAGGACTTACAGTTCCTACGGTCCTGACCTTCCCCTCTGAGAGAGCCCAGACGCTTTCCCAAGTGTTTGTTCTTGGACAAAGTTCGAGGCACACCCCTGGCCCTCCCGCCAACCCGAGGGAGGATGGACACGCTTCAGACCCAAGCCAGTAAACCACAGAGAGGGCTGTTTCACTTTCGCAAGCGAGCCAAGAACATCCAGCCTTCACGCCTGCTCCCTCCCAGCCCAGCATCCAAGCCCGCCCAAAGTCCAGCCATCCCCCCAGCTCACAGGCCCAGTCTGCGGGCAGAGGGATTGTGGCGCTGCTCTGCTTTCCTGGAGAGTGAGAGGCTCCTGCTTTGGCGGCCAGAACTCCAGCCGGCTTCTGCCTGGCAGAAGCTGCTCGCATGGGGACCTGGCTAAGACCACTTCCTTCTCTTTCCTCAGCCCTTCATTTGAATCATGATCTACCACCAGCCAGGAAAGAAAAAAGGAAGAGAGGAGATGGTCAGGGAAGAGGGAAAGGAAGCCACATGCCCGACTTGCCTGGACATCGAATTCTTGCAGGAGTCCGGTGATGGCCTGTTGAGAGATGAGAGGCACAGTCAGTTTCAGCAGGCTCCTCCCTAGAAAGTGATGCTGGAGACGCCCGCCGCCTCACACCCCCCGCCGCCTCTGCTTTCTTCTGTGGGACCTCCCTGATGGCTTACTAAGACTGGCCTTTTCATCTCAGAGTGTAACAGCCCAGCAAAAAAGCAGATGCATTAGCTGGATTTCTTTGTGCCAAAAGCCTCAGAGGGTGCCAATCTCCTCTCTCTCTTTCTCTCTCTCTCTCATACACACGCGCACACGCACACATGCACACACACAAACACACACACGAGCCCTATCTATCATTAATAAAGAAAACAAAATGTTCAGTTTTGAAGTCCATCCACAGTTTTTTTTTTTTTCCCATAGACTTTTAGAACCACTCATAGCATGTTATAATATATTTACCCTTGGACCCCGCAATGATACACCTGTCTGAAATGACATACATGCAGGGAACAGGTACACTGTGGCTCTGTGTGTAATAGCAAAAGGCTGGAAAGACCCAAATGTCCATATACCAGGCACTGGCCAAACACACCTGATGGAACACGTAACTGAAAACAGAACAGCAAGTGTTCAGAGGGCGGAGAGGGGAGAGAGTCGAGAGACGGAGTGAACGAAGCAAAGTGCGCTAGAGACTATGTTCTCACGCCTTTGAAGGACATGCTGACACCACCTTGAAGTTTGTTTGATTAATTGTTCGTTAAGACCGTGGCACAGACCCAGAGGGAGGAGGAAATGAATTTAGAGCATGCACAGTGTACAGCAGAGGCTGCAGACTACGGACCTCCACCTGTGTGTAAATGAAGTTTGACTGGCCCGTGTAAGGTTTCCCTGCCTCACAGTAAGCAAGCCCATTCACTGACATGCTGCCTCTGGCCACTTCACTGTAACAACAGAGCTGAGCAATTGCAAGACAGACCAGATGGCCCACAAAGCCTGAGGTATCTACTACCTGGCCGTTTACAGAAAAGGCTTACAGACATTCCTGCAGACTGCCTCGCAAGTATTCTACAGCTTCCCAGGCTTGGTCTCTAATCCTCGCTGTGTCAACACTCTGATCAAACCTGGGCAATTCCCTTCCCATCTGGAACCAGGGTTTTTTTTGTTTGTTTGGTTGTTTTTTTTTTTCTACAAAATGGGAATAGAGAGAGCTATCTCACACTTTTCTAATCAAAATGCCGTGAACCTAAAACAGAGTAGCTACATACAGAGTAATAAAAGAATTACAGGAACAATCGCTACACCAAATGCAGCCAGCCCAGGTCTGACTCTGTGCCCCACACTTTGTAGCTTTATAGCAGAGGACAAACACACCTCCCTGGTGTAAATGAAGTTTGACTGGCCCGTGTAAGGTTTCCCTGCCTCACAGTAAGCAAGCCCATTCACTGACATGCTGCCTCTGGCCACTTCACTGTAACAACAGAGCTGAGCAATTGCAAGACAGACCAGATGGCCCACAAAGCCTGAGGTATCTACTACCTGGCCGTTTACAGAAAAGGCTTACAGACATTCCTGCAGACTGCCTCGCAAGTATTCTACAGCTTCCCAGGCTTGGTCTCTAATCCTCGCTGTGTCAACACTCTGATCAAACCTGGGCAATTCCCTTCCCATCTGGAACCAGGGTTTTTTTTGTTTGTTTGGTTGTTTTTTTTTTTCTACAAAATGGGAATAGAGAGAGCTATCTCACACTTTTCTAATCAAAATGCCGTGAACCTAAAACAGAGTAGCTACATACAGAGTAATAAAAGAATTACAGGAACAATCGCTACACCAAATGCAGCCAGCCCAGGTCTGACTCTGTGCCCCACACTTTGTAGCTTTATAGCAGAGGACAAACACACCTCCCTGACACTCAGACTCCTCTTCTGTGAAATGGGGACCAACCACGGCACCTGTTGTCTACACAAACTGTTAATGAAACACGGTTCACCGAGAGGTGGGTGGAGGATGCCAGTGTCTGCTAACTCCCATTTTCTAAAGCATTTAGTTGGCCGTGGAGCCACTTCTGAGTCTGAACATCCACCACTGGAAAACAGTGCGTCACCACAGGCAGTGAGGAGGCCTGGTTCGCTGAGATGCGAGCGTGCTTTACAAATGCCATGCGACTGTGCAATCAGAAAGGCGCGTCTGTGGGCAGCAACGGCCCCCACGAACCATGCCAGCTCCGCCTAGGGGGCAGAGGCCTCTGTCTCTGGTCGGAAGGCCTCTGCTGACCTAAGAGGTTTGACCAAACCGCTCCTAACAGCAGCTGTGAGAGCTGAGCTTGCTCATCTCCTTCATGGCAGAGAGGCCCAAGTTGGTGGGAAAGGGGCCAGCCTACGATGCTAGAGCATTTAGTGCCCAAGCTGGGACTTGAATCGGTGCCCCTCACCTCTTCATATTCAAGGAAGAGGTGGACAGGTGTGTGTATGTGTTTGCACACATATGTGTTCAGTGTGCTTACGCATGTGGTATGAGCTGTGTACATATGTATATGTGTACCTGTTTATGAGCACCTGTGTGCATGTATACATGTGCATGGCCTGTACACGTATGTACATGCCTATGTGTGCCTATGCATATGCACATGTGCATGTGACTGGCAGTAGCCGGGAGCAACCAACTCACCTCCCCTTTCTCCACCAAAGGCTTCACCTCGGCGAGGTCCACGTCCTGCAGCTCCCGAGACATGTCTCTGCTGTCACCTGCCTGCAAGGGAACAAAGCTGGCGGTCAGTACTTTACACTGAGAGATGTTATCTGAAGGAAGCCACTCAGCCAGGGGACAGGCAAAGGGTCAGGCCTTCACTCTGCCAAGCAGCTCTCACCTCCCGCACGATGCATTATGGGCTCTGACGAGGCCTCTGGTACCCAGAGGGGGGTACCAGACCGGGCCTTCCAGTCTTCCATCTGAGGGTTGGAGCTGTAAAGGGCTGGGAGAGGAGCCTGAAGCTCATTTCCAATGAAAGGGATGGGCCAGGACTCAGCACAGGTCCCTCCATCATCCAGCCCACCCACCACACCCACCATGCTATTTGCTGCATTTTAGAAAGTGACCCCCATCACTGATCCCAAAGTCAGGCAACTCCAGACTAACACGCCAAAGGGAACCAAAGGTCACAGGACACCCAGCATGTACAGGAATGCTAAGCTTTGTCCTCACAGCTAGCCCGGCAGAGGTGCTGTATGCATGCACACATATGCACATGCATATGCATGCACACACCTGTCCCTGGGCAGGGCTCTCCCCTGCCTGCTGCAGGTAAGAGAGGTGGGGGACAGGAAGACTTTAAGCCAAGGGGTCTAATGGGCACTGAATGCACAGAAAAAGAGAAACTTTGAGGCAAGATCTCTTCAGGAGGCAAGCATGGCCCAGAAGGGGCTCCTCGCTTCTGTAATACGAGTAGGTGAAGAAGAAGCAGGAAGTAAGGTTGCAGAACCAGAGGGAACAAGTTCAGGGCAGGCTGCAATATGGCTGGATCAACTCGGAGCCAGGCTCAGCATGGCGGCATCCCTGAGGATGCCTCTGAAGGTTCTGTCAGAAGCTGCAGGTGTGAGTATCAGCCCTGATGGACCGGAGGTCACGTCGGAAACTGAAACTACCCAACAGCCAGAGAGAGGCTCAGAGGACCGAGAGCAAAGACTGTACGCTACAGGTGGAAGCAGAGGGACTCGGAAGGAGGAGCCCTGCACCTGCCCAGCTCCCAGGTCCAGGCCGTCCAAGTGGAAGACAGTGAAAAACATCTAACTCAGGTCCTCATCCTGCTGCCCTTTAGAGCAGGATCCTAGGCCCTGAGCAGCCCGGGCCCCTTGGATGCAACAGCAGAGAGGGCACAAGCCTCCGCAACCCAGCCCGGGGCCCTCAGAAGACAGGAACCTCATGGACCCAAACGCTTCTTGGAGGTCTGCCAGCAGGAGTGGGGTACCCGGCCTTTACCCTGTGCAACACATGGCATTCTGTGGGTGGGTCCTGCTCTTCGCTGAGACACTCTGCTTGGGGCCCCGGCATGATTCCCCAGTAGATAACCAGCTCCACAAGAATGCCTTTATACAGCCTTTGCAGTCTATGCTCCAGAACATTCCGAAAACAAAGTCGGTTTTATATTCATGAGCATTCCTGTCAGTTGCCAGCTCGGAGGCAGGAGGCATGAAAAGCTGGGGTCTGCTGGCCTTGCTAATTCAGCGAGTTCACAGTCCCGAGACCCTGGCCTGTGGGACACTCGCCCACACAGCCTGAGCCTTCCAGAAGGCAGGAGCCTGGCAGCTCCTCTGCCACCCTCACACTGAGCCTGAAAAGGCTGCATGCTTCATGGGAGCTTCTTAACAGTCCGCGCAGCAGAGAGCCCCAGGGTGAAGTTGGGGTCACCCAAATCCCACTGGGGACCAAGCAGACCTGATCCGGCCCCCTCCAGGAGCTGTGAAGCAGGCGGCTTTTGGGTCTTGCTCCAGTCCTTCCCTCGGCTCCCAGCAGGGAAGCAGCTGCAAAGTAGGCCACGACCGGCTGCTGCACAGGTAACCAGTGTGGCTTAATAGAATGCTTTTAAGCAAATTCACCTTTAAATTGCTGCTAAACCACCAGCATGAAATGCCGAGAAAGGAAGTCGACATCTGCAAGGCTGCGGCACATGACCTGGTTCAGTCCAGTCTACACAGTCCTCCTCGACTTCCAGACACTAGGGCCAATTAGAACATATGTCCACCTCCATGACACCCTCCTCCTCCTCTAGCACAGCGAGGAGTTAAACTTCAGCCCCCACGGCTCCCCACACATGCACCTGGTGAAACCCTTCTCCATCCTACACCTTCTTCCCTTCCAACCTCACAGCTTCCTGGTCCTCAGTTAACACATGCAAATGTCCTGGGGTGGGAATAGACAGCACCTCCAGCAGGCTGGCCTTGTCTAGATCCCTGCCCTGCAGTAGCCATGGGAGCCCACATCCGGGGACTGATGAAGGCCTCCTCTGCACCTGTAGCCACCACACTCTGGTGGCCCAGGATCTGGTAAGCCATTGGGGTCCCAAACACAACACCAGGTAGGAAGAAGGGGCCCACCCTCACGCCTCTCTCCTGACTTCTGCCAGGCATGGACCAGACCCACCCATCTGATGCCTCGACCAGAGAAGTTTCCCAACTTGGTCTTCCAAAGCTTTGTCCAAAGTAAATCTTAACACAGTTCCCTGTGTGAAAACAAATTTAAAAGGCTGAGGTGCTCTGGAAAAGCCAGGGAAAAGGGTCTGACCCCCCAGCCCCACCCATCATGCCCTTGTACTCGCCCCATTGCAATCTGCACCCCCACGCTGCCTCTAGACCTGCCCTAAAGACCTCTGAGTTCCAGGAGGCAGGTGTGAGATGTGGTCGGAGTTTCATCCAGCAGTAAGTCCCTATGGGTCTGACAGGGAGCTAGGTACACAGTGACAAAGCAAGTGATGCTGACACGAGGACCTGTACATGACAGGCCTGGGCACATGGTCATGAACAAGCAGAATGGGCTCCTGACCTGACAGGCTTGCTGGGCTGGGGGCCTCTGGGCTCACCCATCAGGTCATAGCACTGTCCTGTGGGCTCCCACACGCTGTGCCTGTCCTCGCCACCACTGTGCACGAGGACAAGGTGCCCACGCTGACAATGTGGGTGGAGAGCTCTGTGAGGGCCTGTCCAGTGCACCGTAGGGTGCTTAGGGGCTCCAGCCACACCCCTGGGTTTTTCACGAAACACCTTCAGATGTTGCCACAGGTCCACCGAGTGCAAAATCGCTCCTGGTTGGGAACACTGATCTTGGCAGTTCTTGGCATGAAATAGGTAACCAGAACATGTGTTAGATACGATCCTTGTTGGATCTAGTACCCACGCACCATGCTCGTCCTCCCTGACATTAGCACGTGCAGCCACACACTCTCACGCACGCACACCCGCCACTGCCATCCACTTACGGAGGACAAAGCTGAGCCTCAAGCCACCAAGGACTGAGTGAGCTCACAGCCTGTGCCGGGGGATGGCCAGGAAGGAGCCGAGAAGTTCCTGCTCTTACTTCAGCAAACTCTGCCTCAACACACCTTTACTCTGGGAGTCAAGGTCACCATTCCTCAGGCTCATTTCAAGGACACAGAGACACAGGTCTGTGATAGCCTTCGGCCAGGAGTTAGAAAGGTGACCTGGCTGGTAACTTGAACCAACTTCCCCACCAGGGAACAGCCCTGCCCTCTGAGGCCTGCGGGGCTCAGCAAGGCCCAGCCTCTGACTGGCCAGTAGTCAGCAATGAGCTTCAGGACCCTCTGTTCCTTTGCCTCCTGGTAAGTCCTAGTCACAGAATGTCAGGACCCAAAAGGGGGTGGCGACAGAGCCAGGCCACACCCAGCTCACCTGCTCCACTGTGCACTGTGGAACAGGCCGCCTGCCCACCCTGAGGCACTCCACTCTCCAAGAAGCACCAAAAACAGGGCTCTGGGTCACAACACAGCTGCCAGCCTGGCTTGGATCATCACTTCCTGCCAGGAAGGGATTCCGAGAAAACCAACGTCAGAGGTGTGACAGGGAGCCAGGAGTGGTGGGAAGGCTTGTGGGTAGGCTTGGGCTGGGGCGGATTCGCTCTGAGCTCCTGGACAGGCGAGCTCACCTCTCTGCCTCGGTTTTCTCATCTATAAAATGGAGACAGTGACTCCTGCTCCGGGCGAGCAGCAGCGGAGCGTCAACTAGATCAGGGCACGCAGAGTCGGCAAGCAGCTGCTCAATCGATCCGTGTGCTTTCCTTCCCTGGTTGCCTGGGAGACCCCGGACCTCTGAGAGGACAGCCTCTGTTTCACTCACTGTAAGACTCCAGAGTGGCCCAGCAAGGCGGGACTGACAGATGGAAGGGAAGGAAAAACGGAGCGAGGGAGCTGGCTGGTTAGTTGGTTAGTTGGCTAGTTAGTTGGTTAGTTAACTTGGCAAATGCCACATGGGTTTCCAAATATCAGACCCAAAGCATCCACCTGGAGGGGCAGTCCCCTCTGCATTAGCTAAGTCAGTCAATGAGCCAAAAAGGCTGGAGAGCGATGAGCAAATACCCTTCCAGGTCAACAAACCCAGGAGACAGTCAGCGATCGAGCTTCCAGGGAAGCCAAGACCGGTGGCCGGGGGGGTCTTCCAGGGAAGGGAAGAACCGCAGCCCGGGCCTGGACACATCTCAGACAATCAATCCCAGGCCATGTGAGAATGATTAAGTAGTCACGAGGGGCTGAAGACACAGGGAGCCCCTGATTCTCAAAAGGCCTCAGTGGGGCAGCCTTCTTCCATTTCTCCTCAAGGCAGTCCCTGGAGAGGTGAGCTTTATCAGGCCACTTTCCAACCTGAGATGCAAGGACAGGGGCCCACAGGACTTTCCAAAGGCTATGAGTCTAGTGGGAAGGACGTGAAACTCACCCCTCATTGTGTGGGCAAGTGTGGACCTCGGTGAGGACAGACAAAAGCCTCCTGGCCTCCTTTTAGACCAGGAGGGGGCTGTGGCAGTTTGGCATTGATTCACTCACTCATCGTCCTTGCCTGTGACTGGCCTAGTTTGTGTCCCTCCATAACACTCCTGGCTTCAAAGCCACCTCAAAAGCTGGCGCTCTCTCCAGCACACTGGGCTCTGCAGATGTGGAGAGGAGAGGAAATCAGGGTGTGCTGCTGCCGTGTGACAGGGAGTGACCGCCCTGAAGCCAGCCACCTCAGCAAGGGCCAGCACCAGTGCCATTTCTGCATTAACCTCGAGGT